TGTACGATGATTCATCAACTCATGATGAATTCCGTGGATATGCACACGAAGTGTCTATACGGTAATTCATCAACTCATAATGAATTGCGTGGATATGTACACGAAGTGCCTGTACAGTGATTCATCAACTCATGATGAATTTCGTTGATATGCACACGAAGTGCCTGTACGGTGATTCATCAATTCATGATGAATTTCGTGGATATGCACACGAAGTGCCTGTAGTACACATAGTACTGATATATTGATGCAATATATATATTTAACAACATATCTTTATAACACGTATTGTACGAAATAAATGCAATCACCTGACTATCCTTGCTATGTACCCAAAAGGTAAGGCTGATTACTCTGGTACTTTGTCTTTGCTTTTAGTTTTGCTTGTTTCGGGAGCTTGGTTCCAATCTACTCAAGCATCCATAAAAACATATACCATACCCAATGTTAGAATATTTCCTAACCATTATACTTAAACAATACTCAAAAGAACATATCATTAACTTTCTATACCAATCTCAGCCTATTTTAACATTTCTGGCTCTATAGTATCGATATTACTACCCTAGTACCGATACCCCCTTCAGGTATCGATACCAAAAATAGGTTCGATGTTGCCTGGTATCGATACCCTTACCATGGTATCGATACTATCCTACTAGGGTATCGACACCCTCTACCGGTATCGATACCAAAATTAGATTCGATGTTTCTTGGGATCGATACCCCTTATCATGGTATCGATACTACCTCATCAGTATCGATATTGATTGAATCAGTATCGGTACTACTCATCTAATTTATCAAATTTTAGCCTATAGCGTCGATACTGTTCTTAGCAGTACCGATACCCTTGCACAGAATTTCCAGTTTTCAACTCGATTTTCATCCCAATGTGGTCAATTCTCGTTATAATTACCCCATACAATACTGTTAAACTCTTCCTTAACTATCCATACTAACATTCCTTCATTTAGCCTCTTAGAACATCTAAAATCATTCAAGAACATTCAATTCTAAGAATCAAACCACTTTTTCTAATATGTTCTTTATCCCATCTAATACTTCTAATCTGTCATTTACCACTTTGGCAAGTCAAATATACTAGAAAACCTCAATAAACACCGCTATACTAACATATCATTTCAAAACTCATTTTCTAAAATCTCTAATATTTTCTTCATTTCATGATTTCAATCTCAAATAATCTTTCTTTAAGCTTTCATATCACATAAGGTTGTAAAAACAACCCACATTCAAAAGGAAAAACCAAATAATTGAAACTTACCTTTGGAGCTATGGAGAAGACTTCACCCACGTGAAAGAAGAAGAAAAGGAAATGGCTCTTTTGTGTTTACTTTCCCCTTTTCCCTTAAATTTAATACTTTACTAACTAATAATTTTAAATTCATTATCATGTAAAAGACCAAAATGCCCTCTTAATAATCCATTGCCACAATTTAGTCTAAACCATTAATCCCAATCATTCTCATCTTTATCATTTAATCGAATAAATCCTCCTAATTTTTAAATTCTTTCAATAAAGTCCTTAATTCAAAATTCGGGGTATTACATGGATGGTACATTGTAAAATGTTTTACACTGTTTGGTTAATTTTTGTGAAAACAGTTTTCAGAATCTGTTTTTAATAAAGAAGCATGCATATTCGATATGTTTTTTCTTTACCTTAGTTTTAAAGGTTCATTTTATTTTTTTTATAAAAATCTATATTTTTATTAGTACGTCAAACTAAATTTTTAGATAATATTAATAATTTATGTTGATTGTGTTAAAAATACGTTATTTTAGGTTTAAAATATTCATTATGCTTATTCATTCATATTTTTAGAAATGAATTTCAACGTATAATTAATATTATGTAGGTTTATTTGATATAATATTAATAATTGATTAAAAATCTATTATAAAAGTTTATAAATATTATGTAGGTTTAATTAATAGTACACCACATTAAAACAATAATAGTACATAACATCGTAATAAATTAGTGTCAAAATATATAATTAAAGGGTTTATCACTAATTACCATTATCAAAAAAAATTGAGACATGTCTAATAAAATGTCCAATTATCACTTCTATTTCAGTACAATATATTTCATAATTTATTGGACAGGAGTGAATTAAATGCATCATATATTAATAATTAACAAAAGAAATTGATTTGTAAAGTTACAGGCAACATGAAACTTTCTAGAAATCGATGATGGGCTCTCCGACATTAAGGTTGCGTTCGACCGTCCAAGGCAGGTCGAAGAGTTTTGCTGTGATGAACTTGAAAATCTTGCTCACGTTGATGTTGTATGTAGCACTCGAAAAAAACAGGGTCGCGTTTATGGCCTTCGCGCCATTGCCATATAATTTAGAACCACAACTGAAACGAGCAATGAGATGATCCTCTTACAGACAATAATGAATTTTGTTGTGCCTTGCAATAGGGACAACAATCCGGGGTACTACTAAACAGAGTCCAAATACAACAAGAATTGAGAGACAAACACAAATACGAGTATAGCATAACGTACGATACTCCAAATGTTCGATAACAGGGTACGATGAAAAGGGTGTTTTTGTCACTTTTGTTCATTTTCCGAAAATAATTAAAGGATAATACGTGCATATGCAACGATGTCAACCAAGCTAGGACTCGATAGGCCATTTGTTCTTCATTCCTAATTCTAAAACATTGATTTGGTATTGCTAATCGTATGCAAATTCTCAAAAAGGGTGTTTTTAATTCTCAAAGCAAGCGGATTTTGCTTTCTTAGACATGCAGGATATGATTCATAGCTTCGACCGGAACTGTAAACTTTACCCGACTGGCGATTGTCCACTGCAAATCTAGGGGAAGTTCAATGAAATCATCGAATTTGGTTCCTATTAAAATCGGTATTGCTGTATGCACAATCAAAGTTTTCATACTAATGAGAAATTTTCTAAACACACACACAAATATACACATTTGCTGATGAGAAGCTCCATGTTGTGGTCGGTATGACCATTGTGCACAAATCGATATTGTCCTCTTTGTATGCCAGGTCGTTGTTAAGATCTTGTCACTCTAAGGTGTGTCGTCCCAAATTCAAACGCAAGATCTCCTATCCTTATAGGAGTCCTTTTTGCAACTGGGGTACCAAAAGATCTAGCGAAAATTGGTCCGTAAGAACAACCTTAGGGTAACAAAACCTTCCAAAAGGCACAGTACTGATCGATACAATACATACACATAAATATTTATTAAAACATTTACATTTCGACAAGGTTCAATCATAGAGTTAAGAAAGTGAATACCTGATTCCATTTCCTCGCTTCTTGATACCAGTTTACGATGTTGCATCCAAAGAAGACAGACCCCTTTTGATTTAGAAACATCAACCCAGATTTTGATGTACCAAGGGCATACTTGCAACAATTGTTCTTCAGTTTTGATTCAAATGGAGATGTGGAGTGGAAAATTAAGAGTTTCATACTTGTTTAAAGTGCATCTGCTCGTGAGATCAAACATGAAAAGAATTGCTACAGAGTCTTTACAAGCCAGAGGAATATGATCTCGAGATTTATCAACACCTGCGTTTTTCGATTTGAAAAACAAATAGATAAACAGATTGATGGTTAAATATAAGCAAAATCAAAACGAAAATTAAGGAGAGAAAAAATGGGGTTACCATCAACTTCCCAGATGTAGTAATAGATCCTTGCTCCACTTACAAAAAATGTTTTATCCATCAAATTCAACCGTTTCTCTTGATTGCCTTTTTCGAACTCGATTTCATCTCCAATGTATTTCATCTTCAAAAAACATGATAAATAGTATTTAAATATAATATTGGGGGTAAATAGAGAGAGGGAAGGGATTTTAATTTGATTAAGCTAATGGGGCTAACCAGAAAGCTAGTTTTCCCGGTTTGAGCATCACCCAGGAGACTGATCTAAGGTGTGGAGGGGGTGGCGACGGTTATAACTCGATACCGATGCTTCATAGGCTTCGGCAGGGAACACATGAGGAATCGGTCCCAAAAGCCACGAATGCAGCGTCGGAGAATCAAAACGCGACGCTGGAGCCTGCGACGGAGGTTGAGTTTAACCAATCTGGGGCAGAATTGGGTCATAATCCGACAATCTTTCTCTCCACTAGATCGCTCCCGTCCGAAGGAAAATGACTTACCCTTTTCGAAACGGCAAGTCATTTTACCGTGTTTTTCGCTGAGTTTTCCGTAAAATAAATCCCGTTGACCCTCTTGTTTTATGGGAACCAAACACAGAAAAACGGGGAAAACATTCTCCAACCAAACGGACCTTAAACTTTTAGCAGTGAATCAAAACCTTAATTGTTACAGATTATTACTATTACTTAAAGCTGACTAAGAAATTAATCAAGTTGTCTTTGTTGAGCTTTTATGACAAATGCTGTAAGGGAAAATTATTTACAATCTCATACCGTTCTCTGTCATCACTTTATGATTCCTCTTTGTAACTTAAACTTCACCTAAAGCAGCAACCGCTATTACTCGCACAATGCTTCATTTTCATAAAATATCAATGTCTAAGAAGGTATGTACTTGTAAAATAATATCGTAAATTCCACAAATCCTTTTTGCATGCTTCTTTGGATATTACCAAACATTATTTTTCTTGTCGTAATTATTTAGCTTCGGTAGACTTTGTTTTTACTTTTGGAATTAGAAGAAAGTGAAAGGAATTGGCCCTTTATTCTTTCTCTTTCGAAAAGTGAAAAAATTGTTGGTTTTTTAGTCCCCTACTCATTGATACCATTACCAACTTTGTTGAAACTTTTACCCTAAAATTATGGTAAAATGAAACCTTTTTGCTTTACATGCATTCAACAAAGAAAAGAAGTAAACACAGGAAAGCAAATGTAAAAAGTAATAATCATTATTCAAGTTGAAGGAAATTTGTACATAATTTATCATACCTTCTTATGGGACTTGAAAGCTTGAAACAACCACTACTTGAATCTAGGTAAAAAAAAAGGATACAATTATAGTAAGTAGACATTTCAGCAGCACACAGGGCATTTGACCAATCCATTCTCATTACAATCAGGGCATTTCATGCACAATTCATCGCCTTCTTTTTCTGTAAAAACCTGGCGGCTTCCATTGCAGTTTGAGCAGATCAGGAACCTGATGTTGTCACAATCAGTACACATGCTGTTTGAAGGTATCCCTTCCAGGAGCTTCTTTAGCTTTCCTTGTTCGTGAAGTCGAATAACTTCGTCGGCTCCTCCTATCTCTCTTCCCTTGATGAACAGCTTTGGAGGAACCACTCTGCCACCATATATCCTCCACAGTTCTTCCCTGAACCTCATGTCCATTGAAACATCTCTCTCCTGGACCAATATCTTGAAACTGTCTAAAAGAAACCTTATACTGCTGCAGTCTTCGAATGTTTTTCTGATTCCCCTCAGACTTGTTGTGTAGAAAACCACTGAATCTTCTCCTCCCGGTGGACATTTCTCTTCAAAATCTGATAACACTGGATGTTCTTCATTGTCCTCTTTCACTTCTTGCGTGGTATGCTCATCACTGATAATGGTATTTGAAGAGATTGGAAGTAAGCCTTGACCGCCAACACTGAATTCCAACTCTGTTTCTTCATCCTGTTGATCTTTAATACTGATTTTGTTGCTTTTTCAGTCTTGCTCTTTGTGAACTGATAGCTTAAGCTGAAGGACTGAACCCTGTTCCGAAGTGGTGAAAGTATGAGTTTGGGTTTCTTTAGAAATCTTGCCTTCAGGCCTTTCATCTCCTATGGAAATGATGAGATACAAGAAACCCCTATAAATGCATTGGAACCACTTGAAGAAATTGAGAAGGGAGAGCATGGAAGAGAATGGAGTTTTGAATGAAAATGACAGAGAGTAGATGGTGGTGAGGAAAATTGGATGATGAAGATTCTCTTATGACAGGGAAAGTGGGAACTGTAAACTGAAAAAGCTTTTTGTTGGTTGCTTTTAAAAGCTTTCAATGATCACTGAAGTAGTGGGGTACCCTTCCACTCAACCTGACCACATAACCATCATTTTTGGTTGCCTCTTCATGGCATAAGGGGAAGAGCATGCATCATAAAACCAGGCCCCTACCCTACCTGCAAATAATTCACTGGGATAATCCAAGTTATACATGCATATCATGAATAAAGATGGTAGCAACATACAACATATATGTTAGATACAAATGCATTGTAATATTCAACTATCAGCCACAGATGATGCCTACCAGACGCTAAAATCAAATTCAATGCAAGTCAACTCATGCTTGTTTGCAGTGAACATCTTCATCTTCAGAGAGTATGAAACCTGCACAAGGTTAAAGATTTTCAGAGGTATTGTTCATAAGGGTACAACAAAATGAAGGTGGCATTTCCTTTTATCATTAAAGAAAGATACAAGCCATGTTCAACCAAAAGCTAAAAACACATTGATTTTGGTTGCATAACTACAAATACCATCATCCATCATCGGACGAGACACAAAGCCATCATATAACTAGCCAACAATAAATGGCATCCGGACTACAAGACACCCTGCAAACCAATGTTGCCTACACGAACACATACAGTCCCCAGCATCAAATCATAAAACCTAACATCAAGTAACGAATAGATTCACTGGAAGATATTGATTAGTTTACCTGTTGTTGCAGACTGCAGATATACCGAAGGTCGCAGGGCTCCCTCTAGAGATTGGATAGGCTGAAATCTATTATACACTCGAAGAAAAAAACAGAACTATCTATCCAGATAGACTTTCAGATAAACTCTTCTGACAATGTATAGAAAGACATTCACATGACCAATCAAAATGAATCTAAGATCGGACTATTAGATCTGTTTAACTCATTAGTATATAAATAGTTATAATTACCTTGTACCTAGCTCCACCAATTAGGACCACTATAAATATCCTCAGCCAAAACAAATTTATAAGAGAGCTTATCCTTCCACAACTTAAAAGACACTCTTATTTTTCATCTTCATCATGGTCCTCATGTCCAGCTCTCTCTCTTTCACGAAGAAACATCGACCAACAGCCGTTCTCTCATTAGTCGTGACTCTTTGCTCAAATCAAAAGGATGAACTGTTAACGACTAACGAGACCAATACATTTTCATGAACAATTGAAACGATGAATGTGGAAAATCTCATGAAGGAGAGAATCAGTCAAGATTTGTCTCAAAAATCATATCGAAAGAGGGTATTATTATATATAATTCATTTTTATAAGATAAAATAATAACCAAATTAAAAATAATAATATAAAAAGATATTATTATAATTATCGCTAGATATATAAGATATAATTATAATATTATATCAAGTGAGATTTTTTTCACCATAAATTCGAATTCAACCCCCGACCTCATCCTTTAAAAAACATGGCCCAACTCGCACCAAATTCAAAATTAAAAAAAAAAAATTAACTCATCCAAATTGTGTCAAGTCGAAACTCATTGAATACAAATGAAATGATCATCCCTACTTATAATAATATTATATGAAAAAATGAACACCTAAATCTATCTCCATTTAATTGTTAATTCAATATTAATTAGGAGTAAAATTTCTATTTTTATCCTTTGAGTAGAAATTATTAGAAAAGAGAAGATGGGGTGCAGTTTTAAGTATGACATGTAAAATAAAAACTAATGGTTAAAGGGACCATCTTCAGCATCCTTTTAATTTTAAATTCTTTCTGGCTTTAGCATTTTACCGTCATAATTGACTTTGGGGCAATTCTTGCGTTTCTTCCATAATAAGGCCTGATTTGGTGGGTTTTTCCTTTTTTCTTATTTTTAAAATTTAAGATGCAGTGTTGTCATCGATCTTTAATCTCATGTTTTATGATATTAAACATGACAGGATTTTTTTCAATAAAACAACTTTAAATTAAGTACTTTGAATATATATATTCTAAATTCATATCCATTTGAGTCAGAATACTCACTTGCAACGTCAGGTGGACTTTTCATTATTAGGGCACTTTGATTTTCATTTTCTGTTTTGGTTGGAGACTAAATTGATTGTCTTTTGCCAGTTTGATTCGTGATAGATACTGATTGTAAAATTTTGGGTAAACCATGCGTTTAATACTTCAACTATTAGTTTTAGCCCGTTTAGTATCTAAAATTTCAAAATTTTAAAATCATACTTAAAGTTTAATTTTTGTTTCATTTTAGTACCACCGTTCAAAATTTAACTTTATGTTTTGAAAAAATTGAAAGTTTAGGAACTAAAACGAACAAAAACTAATAGTTTAGGCACTAAACATGTGAAGTTTTTAACAGTGGGTACCAAAATGAAACATAAACTAAACGTTACGTATGATTTTAAAAAAATTAAAAATTTAGGTACTAAAACGAACCAAAAATGATAGTTTAGATATTAAATGGTAGTTTACCTTAATTTTTTTTAACATCAAACTTAATAAGATAAATTACACCATTCCTCGCTAAACTTTATTCTTTCTCCTATTTCACTCATTTTACTTTCAGTTCCTCCGATTTGCTCACTGAACTTTTGAACTGCTCATGTTTTGATCACTCTAAAATATTTTATTATCATTTTAATATGATGTGATACTTTTTTATTATTTAAAATACAAAATAAAAATAGAAGGTGGATGTCCACTAATCGTCGGCGTTGGACGCTATCGTCAACAGCCATAGATGGTGGCCGTTCGATCCCAAATTTCGTGGGTCACTTTGTCTCGACCTTCTAAGTCCGAATCTAACCTCCATTTTTGTCAGAATATGCTTCGAAGTCCATGAATTGTAGATCGAAAGTGAATAAACCGAAATGTTTCCGTCGAGATTCATGGGTTTTGAGATATTTTCCAATGAAACAACAATCGGATTTGGACTAGGAGTTGGGGCAAAGTGACTCATGAAATTTGGGACCGAATGATTGTCGATAATGAAGGTCGATCGGTGGTTGACGGTGGGTGGTGATTATTTAAATCTTTTATTATTTGTTTTAAATATTTTTAATTTTTAATAAAAAATACACATCATACAAAAATAATAATAATATAACTCAGAGTGATCAAAACATGAACAATTTAAAAGTTCAATGAATATTAAAAAAATTAAAATTATAGTGAGTGAATTAAATGAAAGAGTAAAGTTCAATGAGGAATATTCCATTCTATCCAACTTAATAATTCATCTGTGTTTTTAATTTAATATCATTTATGTATCACTTTGTTCTTCCTCTAGAGTAATAAGATTGATATGATTCCTACAACTATATTGCATTTGTATCAATAAGAAAATTGTCTGAATTACAATCCAAAATCCAGAAAAAAAAAAGATTTCTTTTTTAACTATGGAAAGATCTCTTGCCTTGTAACAATTTTACGTTTGAGTGAATAACGATGAGGAATTGAGGAAATGCAGAACTAACACTCCTATTGACATCAACCGCCTTGTCTGCTCGACAACGGAACCACCTCCGCAAGTGGCGTGGACAAGGGTGTTGGGATTGGAGATGTCCGGCAAACCGGGCATGTCGGGTTCAACCGCAGCCAAGGGTCAACACACTTGACATGGAATAGATGGTTGCAGTCAGGCAACAACCTCAGCATGTCACTGCTTTTGTAATCCGCCAAGCATATGGAACAACATGAGGCTGTAGAATCATTCTTTTGGAGCTTGGCCTCCGAGTAAAGCAGCTTCGGGTAGCTCTTTATAGTATCCTCGTCGAGGCCTACGTGGACGACGAAGCTATCAGGATCGATATTAGGCTCTTGTCTAGTCCTTCTCGGCCGCGCCTCCTGCGACGGTTGAGTCCTGGTGCAGAAATAGGATGCCAAAGTGATGGTGGTGACGAGGAGGAGGATTCCAACTGACACTCCTATGACATACCCGAAGCTACCGATGCTTTTGGATCCTAGGTCCGTCTTCATACGAAGCCGATGTGGTGTTCATGATCCGATAATGGAAGAATGAGAGGAGAAGACAAACAAGGGATTTTAGAGATGAAAGAATTGGGGTTGGTCTGCCATGGAAGTGGCTAAAGAAATTGTTTAGTTTATGTGGATTTTCAAAAGTCAACGGTAACCGTGAGAGAGAGAGAGAGAGAGACGACAACTGGTGGAGTTTTAATTAAGGGTAGATGCACTTGCTATTTAAGTAAAGGGATATGCATAGTCATACATGTGAATTTGTTATATTTTATGATTAGTGATTTAAATAACGGACGGTTAATGTAATAGTGCCCGTTATAATCCGAAATTGTTATTGTATAATCGTAATATCTGTAATCACCATAATAATATTTGTTTATATACAATCGCAATAAATGTAACGCAACCGAAAGTGTGATTGTGATCGTAATTTAAACCTCTAATTAGGATTACGAGGAATTATTGGTTTGTGAGATAGTTTTTAGAAGTCAACGGTTCTGATGTAATGGTAAGGTATAATGTGTGGTCAGATTTGAGTTAACGTCTTCGTCTCTTCACATTCCCTGCATTTGCATGAGAATAAAGAAGCTATGTTAATGTTGTGTGGATGGGTTGATCTTCATCTTTCTCTACTTGCATTTAATGATACTTTAACCCAATATTCTCATCACAAGTAAGGATCTTTCCAGATCCAGTCATGTCTGAACCATTTATTCTAACAAGTCTTCGTCACCAGACAATTCAGAAGAATTAGAGGTTTCAACCAATTGCATGGCGGTGGTGTTTGTTACAAATAAAATATTATGGGAATTGGAAATACTTTAAACTACAAAAAGAAACCCTTAATTCAGATTTAGAGTTCATCGTATCAAACTTGTGTAAAAAATGAAAATAAACAGAGTTTTAATTTTTATGTATAGTTTATAAACGGTGTAAAGAACATAGGTAGATATGAATGGATTGGTTGAGTGTTTGAAGCAATTTCAAATTCTAAACATCAAAGCAACAATTAAAAAATACATTAAAAATAATAAATAGAATTTGATTTTTGGGTAAAGTAAAATATTAATTAATAATTTAGTATTTTTTGTTGTTTATTAAAAAATTGATAGATTATTAATTTATCATTTTTTATTATCTATTACCATTAAATTAGTAAGTTTTTTGAATGAAATAAATTTTTTAAGATAACTATTAAAAAATTATATAAAAATATTAATGAGTTACTCGCAAACTTATCGAGTCGAGTTAAACTTTACTCGATTCAACTTATTATGATCTCGAGTCAAGCTCGAATTCAAGTCAACCCAAATCGAGTTTTTACTAAACTTTAACCGAACCGAATTCAAATTGCTCCCGAGTTGTTGAACTTATAAGCAGCCCTAATTGTATGATACAGAATTTAGTCTAGTAGTTCCCACTTTCGTTCTTTTAAACAAATCATACAATGACGCATTAATTTTCTTTACTAATTTAAAATAATTATAAAATAATATATATTTAATTTTTTTTAAACATTAACAACACACGTTTAGACGGGCATGCTTAACAATATCTATTTCATATTACAAAATAGAAACAAGACCCATAAAGAAAGAGAAGCCTCGAGATTACAAAATAAAAGGGCAAAAAAGCAAGAGAGGATAATATTTTTGTCATGAAAAAATAAACAAAGTTGCCTTTTGGATTGACGAAAAGATATTAAAATTCATAAAAAAAACTAAAATTTATTTATAAACAAGCATAGAAATAATAACATGGCATCTGTCAATACCTATATCCATATACCTTTAAGAACATGTAAACAACATAGTAGCAAAACCAAGAAAACATGAAAAAACTAAACCAAAACTATTGCTAGTTACAAGAAAGAATCAACAATCAAAATGGTGTATCCGACTCCAAGAACAAGAAATGATGGCATCCCTTTCCCAACTCCAATCTGCAGCCCTGTGTGTCCCCAAATGTTATGTAATGCAGACTGGGGAGCTCAAACCAATTCAATTCAACTCTCAGATAGATTCATTAAAATTAATCCAAAAAATAGAAAGGAAAATGAAAAAACTATAGTCTCTCAAATAACAATACTGCATAGGTAACACTCTGATTGATGGCTGATCAAAGCAACTTTTCAAGGTGGAGGTGGAGTAGGAATGTTGTTACCCTTGCCGCCGCCACCGTTGTTTTCCCATGGTCTCACGGTGAATAACACGACAAACAAGATGATGAGCAGCAAAATTATGATAGCATAACAAGTCCATTTCCGGGTATTTTTCTGGTAATTCCTACCTGTTTGCAGCCGCTCAGTTCCACCTCTCACAAATGAATTAGCTCGGTTCACTTGGCTCTCAATGTCATCCAATTGCTCACCTTGAGCCTGAACCAGCACAGCCATGTCCATGAAAACTTGGTGCAACTCCTTGAGATGCCTCTCCAAATCCTTCACAGCATCGTGTCTTTCTTGAATCTCATTGATCGTGTCCAAAACTCTTCCTCTTCCTTGTTCTTGAATAGCTTTTTGCAAGAATGTCTCACTCTCCCCTGCAATATGTTAACACAAAACAAGTTCCCAAATTTTCTTCATAATTACGATTTGCAAGTTTCAATTGTTAATTAAACATATAAAAGAAATTCAATCTACATATATGTTTGCAGAATTTCAAGATTGCAGCCAGATTTTCCATACAAATATTTCACTAGTAATCACTTAGCTTAGCGTGTAATCATCCCCAAATCAAACATATCAATTAACCAAACGAAAAGGATTTGAAAATTTTGTCAGAATCTTGTAAAGAATATGAACTTGATGGAATGGAAAATAAATTTCCCTTTAATAAAGCTCAGATTGAATAGCATGGCTTCATATGTATCAAAAAGGGTGAACAGACCTGTTGAAATCAAAAGATCAAGGGTCTTTTCATCTGGGTTTTCTCCGGTAACCGTAAAATATCTTCTCTGAACAGTATCTTTGTACTCAGACGAGATCCTCTCCCTCAATTCATTGAAACTCTCCATGGAATCCTTCAACTTTTTTCTCAACCCGTTCACAACCGAAGTCCTCGTCCGGTCGGAGGAGGATCCCGGTCCACACCCAGGCAAGCTCCTGTTAGCGGCGTTGGACCGGTCAAGAGCTTCCAGGCGAACCTTAATGAGCTTGGCCTTTTTCAACGCCATGGATACGTCACCATCCATCTTGGCTCTCAAATCCCTCACGGCTTTCGCGCTGTGCATCGTCTTGCTCTGCTCGTGAGACGAGGAGAGGTCTTCGTTGAGCCTCTCGAGCTCCTTCAGCTCGTCTTTGACGGACTCGACATCGTCGAAGAACTTGTCGAGGTTAACGCCGCGCGGGGTGGAAGCCGATTCCGACATCTGGACTGCGTGGTGGTGATCGGGGGAAGATTCTTCGCTTCGGAAGCGAGAGAAAGAAGATGAGAATAGATTGTTCATGGTTGGTTTCCTTTATTACAAATGTCTTCAAGGCTTTAAAAGTGTTGGTTGGATCCCAAGGAATGATTTTAATATGGGGGGGGGAGGTGATTGGTGCATGTAATCAAGCCATAGAATAGACTCCATTTTGTCCAAGAGAACTTGAGGAAGGTGGGAAATTTGAGACAAAACGGGATTGGACAAATGAAATCATGAACTAGAAATCAAATTTCATGTTGTCCTTTCCTAGTTCTACTCTTTGAAAAGAAGAGAAGGAAGCATCTTGGAGGGTGGAAGCAAGCAAAGAAAGGTCAAAGACGGTCAGAATGTAAACCGAGTAAATTTGATTGATTTAATTCCCTAGTTATCTGATCTTGTTTTGGGGTAGGCTTCCTGAAATTGGATCCATTATTGAAACGCTCAACTTTCGTCAAACCACCAATACAAGAATTGAATGTGAATGGCCCCTTGTTTTGAATTGGATACATCCAAGCAGAGGACTTTCCATAATAACACCATTCAAGCTAAGTTAGGTTACAGATTTTAGCTATATCATACGTATCAATTTTAAAATATGTAAATTATGATTTATTTACTTTTCATTTTAATTTGAATCCATCACAAAGGAGCCAATGAAAATGTTGGAACCAACCAACATTTCCATTTTGATTTGATCCGCCACCCTACTCGGTACGCTCTTGCACTCGCATTGTTGGCTTCTTGCTCTCCCATTTCGCTCTTAAATCACGTTTATGGTCGCATGGACTGAAAAGGACATGGGAGGCAATCCTCCTGAAAATTGGTTGATTCTTGAATCAACACTTCATGTTGATCCCTCAATCACCTCTGAGCCTAAGGTACTGATTTGCAGTGTTGGTAAAGGAGGTGGAAACATATCTTGTGGAAGTTCCGGCTATGGAGATTCCTTCCGAACAACTTTGACAAAATCACCTGCACTAGGCCTTTGCCTTCATTAAGATTAGAACACCATAATCCCACTGTCATCAAGCATCTCATTTCATTTTGGTCGAAATTTTCTAACCTTGCATCCGCTGGTCAACCACAAAGCCAGCAAGGTATAACTGCCACACCAACCTAACCAGTGTGCCCTTTCGATTAGGTTTTCTTCCACAACAAATTTCCAACACCACAATCCCAAAGCTATACATGTCTGTCTCTTTGCGAGCTTTTCCTTCTCGCAAGTATTCCGGTGCTAAGTATCCATTCTCGTCTACAGCTTGATTGCTACCTCGCATCCTGTTCCACCGGAGGAAGAACCAACCAGTACATAGTCCACGAAACAACAGGATCGAACAAACAGGAACAAGAGCAATAACATATGTTCTTATGTTGTTCTGTTACTAGGCTTGGTTTCGAGATTTGAAGTGAAATTCCATGACTTAATGGTGTTGTATATTCTGTGTACTGGCCTGTACTTGCTGAAAATCCAATTTGAACCCACTGTGGGAGAGTTTTCTTTAGATCAATCACACAAGAAAGAGGAGTTTCCCATAAAAACAGGGTGTTCATCATATGTCCAAAACACACTCAGGTTTTGTGTAGTGGCATTGTAAGTAATCCAAACGTTAGCCACAGTTTGAAGCGGCATCCCATGGGGCAGAAACAACTGATTTCATTGAGCTGTTATTGATCCCAACATGTTGTGTTGGTGGATCCCAATCTCCATTAACGTAGCTGTCAAACTCAACTGAGACTACCTGACCTGAGTTTGGGACGAGGCATCCGTGGTGCTGCTATTCAATAGCCCAAGATTGCCTCCAGCCAAATTGGGTGGTATTTGGTGTTGGAAGCGTAGATGGGCTCTCGGTAATTTATAACTCGAACTTTTTATTTATACGAAACAAAATACGTTACAATGACACTACCTCAATCAATCTCTATTTTTTTCTCTCGTATGTTTTTCTTTTTCTCTCTACTCACACTTTCCCTCACTTATATTTCTTTAACTCACTCTAATTTTTTTCTTCACTTATCTAAAAGCTTGCTTTGCTCACATATATATACATGTAATAAACCGACTTAAATTGCTAGATATTTCCATGCCAAGTTGCCTTCCATAATTTTTTTATTGTTTTATTTGCAAACAAAACATGGCATGTTTCAAGTGCTTCCAAACTTTATGTTTTGCCGACATATACTAGTGGTATAATGCACTGCCACATTGCTTTGTTTCTACATTATTCTATCATAATTGAGTTTGATATCCAGCACTCCCCCTCAAACTCGATTTTCCATTCCGAGCTTTTCTTTGAGTCGGTTGAATATATCTGCTCTCAATGGTTTTGTGAAAATGTCTGCTATTTGATCTTCAGTTCTGCAGTAAATTAGCTCCACATTTTTTTTCTTCACCTGCTCTCGTATAAAGTGATACTTTGTATCAATATGCTTGCTTCGACTATGGGAGACTGGATTTTTGGCAAGAGAAATTGTAGACTTGTTGTCGACATAGATTGTAATTGGTTCTTCTTGTACCAAATTTAGCTCATGCAAAATATTCTTTAACCACATTGCTTGACAAGTGCACGCTGTTACGGCTATGTATTCTGCTTCACATGTTGAAAGAGCTACCGTTTGTTGCTTCTTTGATGACCATGAAAATACTGCAGAACGGATATGAAAAAGATATCCGGTTGTACTTTTCCAATCGTCTAAGTCTCCCCCATAATCACTATCAGAATAACCAACCAGCTTCGAATTTTCTGATCGCGTGTAGAATAAACCATGATCTGTTGTACCTTTGACATATCTGAGGATTCTTTTTGCTGCAATCCAATGATCTTGTTTCGGATTCTCCATGAATCTGCTTACCAATCCCACAGTGTATGTTATGTCTGGTCGTGTGATAGTCAGATACCTTAGACTTCCAACGATGCTTTTAAACAACGTCGGATTCACTTGCTCTCTTGTTGAATTCACACTTAATTTGACTCATGGTTCTGCTGGAGTGGCTACAGGCTTGCAATCTTCCATTCTGAATTTTCTTAAAATTTCTTCTGCATACTTCTTTTGTGATATAAATATTCCTTCTTGCATTTGCTTCACTTCAACTCCAAGAAAGTATGACATTTCTCCAATATCTGTCATTTCAAAATCTTTAGTCATAGCTTTCTTAAAATCATTGAACATACCTGGATTATTTCCTGTGAAAATCATGTCGTCCACATATAAGCACACGATCATGATATCACCATCTTCATTTTTCTTTGTGTATAAAGCATGCTCATATGGACTCTTCATGAACCCATTTCTCTGGAAATATTCATCATTTCTCGTGTTCCATGCTCTCTGGGCTTGCTTCAGACCATATAGAGTTTTCTTCAATATGTAAACTTTGTCTTCATGTCCCTTTTTAATGTATCTAGGTGGTTTCTCAATATAAACTTCTTCTTCTAGGTAACCATTTAGAAATGCTGACTTCACATCCATCTGGTAAATTTTCCATCCCTTTTGTGCTGAAACTGCTGTGAGAAGTCTGATGGTCTCGATCCTTGCTACTGGAGCAAATACTTCATCATAGTCTATTCCTTGTCTTTGCTTATATAGCCTTTGACAACTAGCCTCGCTTTGTACTTCTCGACCTTTCCTTCTTTATTGGTCTTTGTCTTGTAAACCTATTTTACTCCAATTGGGTTATGGCCTTCTGGTTGTCTTGTTAGCTCCCATGTATCATTTCTTTATATGATGCAATTTCTTCATCCATTGCATTCCTCCATTTGTCATCTTCAACTGCTTCTTCGTATGTTATTGGATCACTGTTCACAAGTAAGCAGAAAAGTGAAACATTATTTAGTTCATAATCGTTGTACCTTTCTGGCATTCTTCTCTCTCTTATGGATCTTTGAACTTCTGTGGGAGGTACTTCAGGATCTTCTATTATGTTGCTAGCATCGCTGCTGCTGTTTGACGACGATGGTACATTTTGTTGAGGACCTTGATCACCAGCTTGTTCATCTTGATTGATAAGATCATCATCTTTAAAAAACAATCCTTCAACTTTCTTTTCCTCTTTGCTCCATCTCCAATAGTCTGCTTCATCAAACTCGACATCTCTTGAAATTATTATCTTCTTTGTAAGAGGATTATATAATCTGTAAGCTTTGCTCCTTTCATCATAGCCAATGAAAATACATTTTTCTCCTCTGTCATCAAGCTTCTTTCTGGTCTGTTCAGGAACGTGGGCATATGCAATGCATCCAAAAATCTTGAGGTGTCCAACTCTTGGTTTCTGTCTATTCCATGCTTCGTTTGGCGTCATATACTTCACGCTTTTTGTTGGACATTTGTTCAATAGGTAAACTCCACATCGAACTACTTCAGCCCAGATATTTCTCGGTAGTTGCTTGCCTTTTATCATGCTTCTTGCCATGTCCATGATTGTGCGGTTCTTTCTTTCTACAACTCCATTTTGTTATGGCGTGTATCTGGCTGTCAGCTGATGGATGATGCCATGCTCTTTGTAGAATTCTTCAAATAACTTTGATGTATATTCGCCTCCTCTATCTGATCTGAGTATCTTCAAATATTGACCGCTTTGTTTTTTCGCCATTGCTTTGAATTCTTTCAATTTTTCCAGTGCTTATGACTTTTCTTTCAAGATGTAAATCCAACATTTCCTACTAAAAGCATCAATAAAAGTTAGGTAGTACCTGTTACCTCCAAGCGATGGTATGTCAAAAGGACCGGCTATATCTGTGTGTACTATCTCCAGCGGTCTTCGGGCACGCCAGGATCTACCAACTTCAAAGCTTTGTTTATGTTGCTTTCCTTTGATGCAAGCCTCACATAATTGATTTGGAGGGTTGATCTCTGGTAGTCCTTTCACCATGCTCGTTTTTTATAACAGCTTCAAACCAAAAAATCCAAGATGTTCATATCTTAGATGCCACCGCCATGAATCATCTTTGATTGCGGTCTTCATGCACTTGACTTCTCCCGACTCGATATCAATTGAAAAGAGACGATTTCGAGTCATATCATCTTGGGCTATCAATTCTCCTTCTTTATTTTTGATGGCAAGCGAGCGATTTTTCAT